GTACGTTACGTTACGTCTCTACTAGTCGAACTAGTACTCTACCCTACCGTCCTACCTACCACCTCTCCTCTTACTTACCTACCTCGTACTACTACTCTCTCTCTCTCTCTCTCTCTCTCTCTCTCTCTCTATATATATATATATATATATATATATATATATATATATAGATAACACATGTATATATACCCACACATGTTTATATATATAAACAAGAGTATACTTCTTTAAAATAATGCCCACAAAGGTGAGAAGCTTGAAGTTTGAAGTTTGAACTTGTTGGTCACAAAATAAACACCATAACATACAAGTTGCTGCAATATTACGTTATGGAACTCGTAGATGAACGAAAGCAGCTAAAGTTACACCATGTCCTACCCTAGATCCTTTTTATTTCACTTATTGGAAGATCTATAAGCTTTATACAATTGATATTTGTCTCGAATGCCCTCTCATTGACCATATCCACCATTACAGAGACCTTTGCAAGTCGACCCTTTCTTTTCCATGGAAAGCGTTTGAACACTTGCATGCCCAATCGCATGTAAGTGAAAGGATCCACACGTGAGAACACAAGGACAAAACATGTCCATCAAACACCAGAGCTTCTTTCATGCCTGAGGACTGAAATTCAAATCCTAATTTTGGGTTTTCAGTTTCACTTTTCACTTATGGAACACACTCCCTTGAAAACAAAAAAAAAATTTGAAAATATTTTAAAAACATGATTCTTTCTATTTAATGATACTTTGGTTTTGAATTCAGAAAAAAAATTGATTATATCAATCACTGGACTTCGTTCCGGAGCTAGAGTTGGGGGGCCTCAATTCTAAGCTGGATGGACCTTGATCCCATATCTTTATCACTCAATCATGGACAAATTTGGTTTGCTACCTTCATATTCGGATCAATGGTCCATTTAATCCAGAGTGTAATGATCTCGATCCCTACCCCACGAATCTTCTTGCATCTCCTGATCCCGTGGTGCCAATCCAGATTTGGGATCTAGCCTCGCACCCCCTCCTAGTAACTATGGTCTATAGCATTAAATTCTATAAAGATGGCCCAACAAATATCTTTCTATGAGATGGAGTGTGGGAAGAATAGTATCAGAAATGGATGAGCTTTTCTGTAACTTTATAGATATCATTTTCTAGCTTCCCAAGATTTTAATCATATTTCAATGGAAGTTAACATGGTGACAAATAAACTAGTTCCCATAGAAGCTTACAAAATAAAAATAATCAATATTGCCACCCAAAAAGAGAACCAAAAAACAAAAAAGACTAGTTCACATGGTCATACTAGGGATAGCCCTGGCTCTTGGGACTCAGTGCCACCTTGGGTCTTAGCTATCATCCTTCACATTTTGTTTTCCGTCATTAATAATTAGTGCTTATAAAATAAACTTCACAGAAAACTACAATAAAGAATGAACTGCTGACGAATGACTGATAGATCATGAAAGAAGTAATTAGTTTTTTAATACACTGCAGACGAATGAATAATAGACCATGAAAGAAGTAATTAGTTTTTTAATACCGATGTTTTTTATTCTAAGTGAGATGTTAACAGTGATGTTGTAGGATGTCCATAATCAAAATATGAACACAAGTCCAATCATAATTAACAAATGCATATGGTTTTCAATTGTCTTTTTTCTCAGTTGTATTATTCTGACTTCATTCTTTTCCATATATTTCCCCTATCAGCCCATATCTTAATGTTTTCCTTATTTTTCATACAATAGAATTGAAACATTGATGTATGAAAACCATGAAACTGCTCAATACTTCAAAAGTAATCCAAAAGCAATTTATGTCACAAAAAGTTCCCTTAAAAAAAAAAAAGAAAGGAAAAACATGGCCTGATTGTTTGTTTCCGATAGGCCTCTTTAACTACAAAAAACTGATCAAATTGGTACCTGATTACCATCTACCCCTCAAAATCATGTGAAAAGTAAAGTGGGCATTACAAATACTCCCCAATTTTACATTTGACAAGCACTCACACATAAGTTAAACTAACACGATATGAATCACACATATCCTTCATTTAGAGCCCATGCTATCGGCCCCAAAATGAGTTCTCCCAGATTCTGCATGATGGACGTTTAATGTTTAAACAGAGCAGAAGGCAGCAACAACTGCTATGAAATAAATCTCGCTAAGCACAATGACTTCATCTGATGGCCTAAAAGATAGATTGATACAATACTGACAAACCAAATATCCAATTAATTTTTTCTTCTCTGATGCAAATCGCATTAAGGGGCTGGTCCATATTTTTGAATTAGAAGTAAGGATGTTTTTGGATTTCATCACTGGTTAAGTTGGACAGGTGGGATTCTCTTAATTGTTAGGTAACCTTCTTATAATTCTTCATTAAGGGATTATTTTCGGTTTTGATTTAAAGTCAAGGGTAGGATAGTGCTGTAGGGTTCCCATGTAGTCAACAAGTTAATCAAAAAATCAATGATGTAGAGTTCCTATGCATGGGAATTTGGTTGCACGAATGGGAGGTACAACACAGGAACTTGGTTGCATGCAAGCTGATTATAATGTATGTGGGAATATAGGGGTAGTTTAGTCGTTTTTGCATTTTGTTAGGGATACCTTGGTCATTGTGGGCCAGCAAGCGGGTTCATATACATTGTACAATGCTGTAACAGATGTAGTTATCGTTGATGATATTTTGATTAATGAAATGAAGTAGAATTCTTATCTTCCTTCTTGGTGCAGAGAGAGGAAGAGAGAGATTAACAATTTGCGAGTTGGAAGGCCTCTATTAGGTGTAGTATCCAGATATAGGGCTGGAAAGACCCTTATTCATTTTCCTTTCTTGACCGTAATCAAGGAAGTTTTCCTCTTGTTGATTAACCAATGTGATCGACTGATTGTTGTTGCTAAATCGGTCTCGGATCTCTCCTCTCCAGGTGCTAGTTTTGCACTGTTCTCTCTTTCAAACCAGCAAATTGTGATACAAAAGATACCAACAGGAAAACACTGGCTTTGCCTGACTATGGTTTCTTATTATCAATGCTTTAACGATTCTCTGCAAATGTTTATGTTTATCATGTACAGGTCATCAAACAGCCCACACTAAGACAAACTATACAACATGGAAAAAAAGATAACAATCATGATTCATGTTGCAGAAATCAATTGGGAAATCGAAAAGAACTTAAAATATATACACAACCTCAGAAACCCATTGCCCCAATATCAGTGCAACTCGCCGATGGATAATCCGTCGATTAGGATGGTCATTAGAAAGCTCAAGAGATAGAGCTCCATCAAACCTATATAACAATACATTGGAGCAAGAAATATATGGTTCAATTATGTTGTCATTTTATCGGTTAAAGAGATCAGACGTATCATAAATCAGACGTATCATAAATTTTGTATATGTTGCAAAATAAAAAACAGTTAATCATAAAAAGAAAAGGTTCAGTTATATCGATTCGGGAAATAAGGAAATGTCCAAGGGAAACAAATACTGTTACAGATGCTGGAAACCACCAAACACTTTCATTAATGCCATAAGCAAAAAAAAAATATTCCATCTCTTACCTAGCAGTATAAAAGTAAATAAAACATCAAGGATCAAGGTAACTGAGCATGATTTGGAAGGGTAACATCATTGCAAAAAAATTTATAACAATGATCTGCAAAAGCATTGTTTACTTGGTTCTAGTTCATCATCATCATCAGAGCCTTTTACCAATTATTTGGGGTTGGCTACTACTTGGTTTTAGTTACATCATCAAAATAGCGACAACAGGGAGCAGCTGAGGCATCAAAAAGATACATATCAAGTATCAGGCATTAACGTTTGATCTCGAGTATCACGTATGAATGTTGAGTCAAGGAATTGGCCCCTTTGACTTCTCACAAAGTTCATCGATGATGACACTTGCCTGCAGATCTTCTTTTTCCAATGCTTTTTTACAATGAATCCCCACTCACCCACAGGAAAGCAAAATTTAACAGTTTTGAGGACAAATGGATCCTTTAATGAAAACTAGAAAAAGATAAATATACTAGGTTTATCTACAACTGCAAGAAAGGATTTCAGGAGAAATATATATTTCAAATGTCTGAAACATGGTGGAGTGGGATTCGTGTAGCTGACCCCAAATAGTTGGGAACAGGCTCCGATGATGATGAAATGTCTGAGATATGAACACTGACCCTCGATATGTTCTACCTATCACGATACAAGATCTTCATTAATGTAAATGGAAGTGTTTCTAACTGTTACTAAATTTTGGGATATGATTCCTCAATCATGAGAGACATTTGTTCCCTAGCCGTTGATAATCACTATGCACAAAGATTAATGGAACCACCTACTCAGAAAGCACAAACAAGAGACATCAGCAAATTAGTCAGGAAGTTTTGGCGTACAAATAAACAGGATTCTCTGCATTAGGGAGCATCCACCTAAAGCTCTCAACTGAATCTCCTTTCATATACCAATATAAAAAAGAAAAGAAAAATCTCCTCGCATAAAATGTTGATTCGTAAGAAATTTAAGTGCAACATACAAAACACAGATTTTTGAGGTCCAAGAGGATTTTCTAGCACACAGGAACAGAAGAATAATATCTAGCACCCTAAGATTAACATTCGCACTTTTACTGCAGAAATAATAGTCCAACTAAAACAAGACCACTGTGCACATTTCAGGTCCGTTTTGGTTTAGATATACCTTTCATTAAAATAGGTTTACCTTTCACAGAAATAAACTTATTGCTCTCCATATCCCAGTGAATGCCGTTTCTCCACAAAAGACATGCAGGCCCCTCCCTCCCACCCCCCAACTCCACCACCACCCTAAATAATATTAATGCTCTTCATAAACGATCCCTGTAATCTGTTTCTCCACAAAAGACATTCGGGCCCCTCCCACCCTCCTCCATTCACGGCCACCATGCCATCACCACCCCTCCAACCTCCTCACGCATAAACGTGCACATACATTAACAGATTAACACTCATGGATGTACCAACACAAATTCAAAGCAAAGGGTATGCCACCCTGTCATGTTTTTGGGAAGAGACCTCAAGGATCAAACCCTTAACCTCCCACTTAGAATCTGGGGTTGTCTACCACAAGTCCAAAGCATAAGGAACAAATTACCTTCACATATTCATAAAAACAACGTTGTATCTATAACGTTGTATCTCATCCATACAAGCTCAATAAAGATAAATAGAAGCAGATGAGGGCATAAGGAATGACAGCATGATGGAGGAGTGATTGCCAACTGGAATCCACAGCTGCACTTGCAGATGCACGGATAAGGCTTGAACCAAGAACCATGGATGAATGACATTCTTTTGCACAAATATCACATATAACTCAAATCAAAATTCCTCAACAAAACAATATTTTGCACTCTTTCCACCACATAGGAATGTTCATGGACAATATAGTCACAAGATGAAGACTCTAGCAGAGGAAAAGACAAGCAAACCTGGGGTTAAGTGTGAAAGTCTTAAGGACCTCAATGGCTAAAAGCACAAGCGCAAATCTACGCTTAAGACCAGCCAAGAAAAAGAAAGCGAATTCGACAACACTTTAACAGAATCATGTGGTAAAAGGGGATAGATAAAATAAAGGGGAACTGACAAACTACCCTCCAACCTGCCCCCCTTCTCCCCAACTGCCTCTTTCTTTTCCCAAGGAATCCCTTCCATACATTCAAAAGGAGGATTCCAATCTTTTTTTCCATTTTGCCCCTCCCAATTTATCATCATCATCCAAGCCTTATTCCAATTATTGGAGGTCGGCTACAGGAATCATGTCCCTCCATTCTTCTCTTCAAGGGCCTTACCCTCAATAAGACCAAAAGTCACCATATATTTTCTTACAACTTCTATCCATGTCCTTTTGGGCCTTCCCCTTGTCCTTTAAAAGCCTTCCACTTGAACCAAATCACACATCCTAACCGTTGTGGAATTAGGTCTACATTGCACCTACCCTACGCACCTAAGTCAACTTTCCCTCATCTTATTGCCTATTGAAGCCACACCTAAGTTCCCTTCCAAATTCCATCCTTTCTTGTCTTGTCACTCATATATCTCAAACATTGTATTTTTTGATACACTCATCCTATGGATATGTTGTTTCTTGACTACCCAACGCTCAATCCCATAAAGCAGATTGGTCTTACAGCCGTCCTGCAGAACTTCCCCTTCAGTCTCAATGGTATGTGGCAATCACATAAAATTCCGGATGCACATCTCCAATTTGCTCATCCAGCTTTAATTCTATGCGCGACATCTTCCTCAATCTCTCCATTCTCCTGGATTTTGACTGCCCCTACTAATTTATACTTGAAAAAAAAAAAAATATCTGGTCTCTTTCCCCATTCTCTTTAACCATTGAGCCTATCGCTTCCTCCCCCAATTCCCTTGTCCAAAATACGCGGAAACTCAAACAGCTAAAATAAGCGAGAAATCAACCTGCTACATTGATTAGTTGTCTACAATCTTCAAAAAAAAGCAAAGTTGGTTTGATGACATATCAAGGAAAATCAGATTGGTCCCAATTTGAATCAATTCTTGTTGGTGAAATATGGCCCTGAAATTGGTTCTTGCTAACATCTAACATCTTCAATGACTCCTGAAAACGACCTAACACTAGAATTTGAGAAAAATTACAAAATAGGTTTAAAAGCACCACTGACTTCAGGCCTCAGAAATCATACTGCTTCTCTATAGGAGAGAAACCCATAGGCCCAATGGTTAGGATTTCTGATTCATGCCTAAGAATTCAGAAATCCTGAGATGAATTCCATTACCTGCAAGATTTACTGCTTTAAGCTTTGTAAAAGAAGATTAGAAATTTGGCGGGATTTCCCCAACCAGGCTATTAGACAAAAGATCAAGAGAGACCAGAGATTCAAAATTTGAATGCTTCTTTAACATGGCTCAGTCTAAGAATTTCCAGGAATGACCGAGAGCTCTACCTTGCAGGAATATTGTCTCAGAAATTTTTCAAAAAAAAAAAAAGCATTCCAAAAAATCGCTTCGATAATATATTGAGATTCAAGAGAGTACCAACCAAACCCATAAATCGAAGGAAAACCCATCTCTAGAATTATTACTCAGATCCAAGGATTCAAGCTTTTTTATTTACCAATGGTGTTCTCGAGCAAAATACTAGAGACAATAGGGCCAAAGACCTCTAATTTGAGAACATTCTCCTTTCGAGCACCACCTAAAACTCATTTCATAAACAAAAAGGTGCAGCAAAGTTGTATTGCCGTCGAGGACCTCGTTTTTCGTAGGAGATCCAAGATGATGGCCCCACCTTAGTTGGTGTCCAGAGAGATAGAGAGCCCCAAAGCCATGGTGACCATAATTTCTCAACCCAGGTGACGATTCGGCTTCAAATTCCCAATTCCGCGATACCATCAAGAAGCCTGCATGGAACTCGTTTCCTTGAAGTCAGGAATCTCGATTCCACAGTTTAGAAACCTCGTTTCCACATTTTGTTAATATCAATTCCAACATTTATTGAATCTCAATTCCATATTTGTTGAATCTTGATTTAACATTTTTTGAATCTCGAATCCATTTTTGTGGAATCCAAATTCCATGGTAATAAGTTTTATTACATGTAATTCCGTACTCTCTTCCAATGTTAAAATCTCTATTCTGCTTGTGATGTTTAGACTTATAGCATTGTTCCACTAAAGCTACAACACAAAAAAAAAATATTTTATTCTCTCTCATTAAAGGTACGCACTTCATTTTTTTTCATCACATCAAGTAAATGGTTTATTTTGAAAATAAGGTCAAGGATTCTTTCGCAATTGCTTTTCTAATAATGCTAGAACTCGGTAGCTATGTTTTAAGATAATTGGGAAAGAGATATGGGCTTGATTTGGATTAAATTTCTAATAGTGCTAGAACTGGCAGCTATGTTTTAAAGATAATTGGAAAAGAGATTTGGGTTCGATTCTGATTGCAACACAGAGCAGCACAATGGCATAAACAAATTCCCATTTTGAACTATAAATATGAAATCAAAATCTCAGTTTCAAGCATACATCAGAAAATATTTGTATATTTTGTAAACACCATCACAAATTCCCTAGTAGGCTATAGTGCCTGCGAATTGCACTGAACCCATATCTAGTATTACAGCCACTCGACCTAACTCTAATACCATGATTCAGGTTCAATACATCGATTACAATACCAGGGGAACCCTTGTTCAGGTCTTTATGACCTTGAGGATCTCGATTCCAATACAGGGGAACCAAGGTGAAGCATAATAAGTTGATCCCAATACCAAGGGATTACTGTAGAACCTTGAACCTTTTCCCCTATGAAACAAGTCTCCTGATGCAGTTCTAAGTTGTTAGGTACACAATCCCAAAGATGTAGGAATCTGGATTCCAATTGGACTGAAACTTGATCCCATAGAGGTAGGAATCTTGATTCCACGTGGGTTTGAAACTCAACTCCAAACTGGTATGAAATCTTGACTCCAATTGGTCTGAAACTCAAGTCCAAAGAGGTAGGAAACAATTCCATTTGGGTGGAAACTCGATTCCATAGAAGTAGGAATCTCGAAACCATTTAGTCAAAACTCAATTCTGTTAGAGTAGGAATCTCATTTCCTGCAATTCCCCATGTATGGACAGCTATTCCCATAACAGGAATCTTCCAGCCACCCACCATTCCGTGATTTTGATTCCTAAATTGATTAGGAATCTCAAGAATTTCCAACAATTATGCCCAAAACCATAGAAAACTTCCCTAAAAGGCAAAACATGGAAACCCGCTTCAGAGAGATGTTCAAAGAGTCAGTAAAAGATTCAAAATAGACAAACTCAATTAGACAGAGGTTCAAAGCAGGTAATAAGTACAGAGAAATATAAATCTTTTCCAGCATCCGAGAACCACACATTTCTACATGTTTATACATCAAACTGTCTCAAACAAAAGAGTCATTGTCGGTGAAACAGATACAGAGTATGGTGCACAGACCCATGTCTCTGTAAGCTAAGAGAGAGTAAAAGAGGTGTATCTTTTCTGAAAGACAAAATTTAGAAAGGAAAATTTTAGAACCCCCTTTGATTGTAGTGACAGGGGTCTGTGGGAGGCAAGACGCAGTAGGGGTGAGGTGTCCTTACTATGTGAGTAGTGGTGTTAAAAAAATAAAGGAAAGTTTAGATAACCCAAATAACAAGTGCAGACACTCAGCCCAACTCAATATCAGCTCTTTGCATCCCAAGCTAGCAAATCTCCCTAGGATGTTGTGGTTGCCAAGTGTCCCATAAAGCAATATATTTTCCAATATAATGGACTTTATAAACAATTTATGCATGATATTCTTAGGATCTCTGTTCACTTCACAGTGTATGGATCCATAAGTTCATTTTCAGCAAAATTCATGAAAGCTAATTATGGCAACCTGTTTCAACTAGAGGGAACAGAGAGAGAGAATGAAGAAATCTAAAAAGCACAATTTCACCTTGAGATTAGTACAAAAGTATTCTTAATTGTTATAAAAATCTAAAGCAACAAAAGATGTATATCTAACAAGGCCAATATACAACTGGATAACTACAACTGCAGAGGAAAGGAATAAAAAGAACATGTGGGCAGTAGGAAGTCTGAGAAGAAAATTTACCAGTCTTTGAAACTCAAGTGACCAGACAAATCATAGTGTACATATCCAACCGAATTATAAGCGGCTTCCTTAAGGAGCATAGCAGATGTTATTTGTGTTTCCACTGCCGGACAACTGTTCATTGCTTCTTGAAGAATTGAAAGCACAACAGGACATAGAAGCTGGAAATGCAAATAGATTTTTCATTAAAAGAAAATCTACAATCAGAACTTTGAGAACAAGGATAAAACAGAAAAGACAAAAGCATCTCCTCCGTATGCATGACCAATTCAATGCTCTCAATAGGAACCGGGGTTGGGCTCAGGTGCTTAACAGTTGACGTTAACAGCGCTATATACTGAGAAACAATGATAAGAGCATGGTGAAATTACATGTTTATAATTCTCAAACAGCGTAATGTATAAAGCCTCAGCACATGGTCGCAATTTTTCTGTCCACGTGACCATATCCTGTTCATGATGGAATTCTTCAGGCTCCCGGTACCACTCATCTAAATCACTTGCCGTGAAAACAAAATACCTGTTAAGAAGGAGAACATGAAACATTACTTTCCCTAGAGAAAACAAATCGATAATTTGGAATAAGAGTAAACAAAAATGATCAAATACTTAAAAAAGTAATTTTACGATGACAGGCACAATTGGGTCTTAAATGTTTAAGAATTTAGCCTCCTGACAAACACTTAAAAAGTAATATGTACAGACATGTCAGTTCTCAATAAGGCATATAGCAAATGCCAATCAACTAGTAACCAGTTTATTTTTATCCATCAATTGGTATACTACACAGGAAAACCCACGAATGAAAGAAAAAAACTGCTAAATCATTGTCTCAAGCTTTGAATTGATAGCAAACACAAGTAAGATAACATAGTGCATGTATCAATATGATGTGATACTGATACAAGCACCAAATACCTTTTAAAAAAAATACAAATATAAAATAATACCAACACAAATAAAAAAAATTGCGCCCCATATGGAGAAGCCATGCAACTCAGAGTAACACTTCTTATTGTTATGGACAGTTCTCTATGCCAAGTACTAATTATGATTGTATTGCATTTACATAAGTAAGCATTTATATGATTGTGTATGTATATACAAATGGATAGTTGGATGGTTGAAATAGTTGTGTATGGATGAAAAAGATTAAACTATATAGTTTTATGATATTTTGATGGAGGAAAAATTATACTTATTTTTAATTTCTATTCAATTTTAAAGGATGTATATTTTTATTTTAGTTTTAGGATTTTCAGTATTTCAGGAATTCCAGCTGAAGTTATACGACTCCACGCCAAAACCATCTAGACCAGAAGCACTTTCAGATTTCTACTCCCACATGCAATCTTTGATTTCCTCCAGAGAAAAAACACATATTGATTCATTGCATTGATCCTAAGTTATGTCCTTCTTGTGAAAGGAAGTCATTGGCCATCGACCCCAATAGGGACTTTTCATAAACATCTGACGCCAAAGATCCTAAAAATAAGAAACTATATGAGTTTGAATTGCTGTTGAATCTCAAATTTGGTTCGCAGCTGAATCCTTTAAATACAATATCCTATCATTTTGCGTCCTAGTGATAGTCAACCTGTGAAAAAATCTTGTGTTCGAGTCACCATCCTTCAGCAAGATTGCCCTTGATTATTGTCTCCATAAATTCACCTCCTGGGCTAATAAATGCTGCAATTGTTTAGAGAGCTCAGCTTCTTCTAAGGCCAAAGAGGAATCACTGCAGTTACTCTAAATCAAATCATGCAAAAACTGAAAGCCTAAACCCCAGGTGTAATATTTTTATAGCCATTTCTGGCTAAAAACCCATGGTTTTCAGCAAATTACTTCGAATAAAACATTCTTTTAAATGCAGCAACATAATGCGCCATGCACCCCGAAGTGCATCATATGCGCTTTGGTGGGATGCGCCGCATCCCACCGCATATGTATCACATAGCTCGTAGGCAAAAATAATGCCCAAGAGCATAGGTATTCTGGTCAATCCCCCACGCCCCCCCACCCCCAAAAGAAAAACAACAACAAAAAACAGCACCATTTGTGGCTGTTTTTGGATCAAACAAAGGGAAAAAAATTCAGCAGACATTATTTTTTTTGCAAAAAAATTGTTGATTTGCTCTTGGTGTTAATTGGGTTGTCAATTGGAATTAGCTTGGGAGTTGTTTTGAAGAAGTTGGATTATAGATTCGTCAACATATCGAGGGTTTCAAGGGCAGAGTTTGCAATTTCGTTGGTTTTTTGGATGTTTATGAATTATGATAATATGATGTCTTCTATCATCTTCTATGAAGTTAATTTCAAGTTTCTAGTTTCTACTTTCTAATGTCTTCTAACAGGGGGTTCAAAGTCTCCGATCATCTCATAATATTAGAGTTAATGAATAAATTAAATACCTACTATCACATAAATTACCTCCAGATTTTTGTCATGCATTTACCTATTTTTTGAGTTTTTTTGAATTTTTCCTTTTATTGACCATATCGGGGTGATGTGCCCTCATCAAGCCGCATCGGCCCCTAGACGGCATACCGCACCTTAAAACATTGGAATAAAATAAAAACAGCTTTTCAAAAAAAGATAAACTTATATCTAAAAGGCAAACTGCCTATAAGTTTATCTCAAATAGTTTTATAATACACACTGCCAAACAACCAATTATTCATTATAAGGTTAACTATATTAAAACAGTGAATGATCAATAATAATGAGTACATCCAAACATGCCCATAGGACATAACTTTATACCAACCAAAAAAGTCCATTCCAACTCGAATGGAGTCACAAAACTCAAGCCAAGTTCGGAGGTGACCAAATTGAAAAACTGTTCCAGTTGCACTAGAGCCCAAAATGAGAAAAAGTTACGACTCAAACTCTAGCAGCCCAATTTTCATTTCGAAAAGTTGCTCAACCTTTTCCAAATCAAAAAAGGCCCGTCCACAGTTGCTCTCTTTTATTTTTCCAAGAATGAAACCAGTCATCTTCATATGCCAAAGTCGAACCAATGATGTAGCTGGATTTATCCCTAACCTCTCCACCATTGTCTTTGGAGGTGTTGGGCATCCTCTCTGACTCTTACTCTAGCATTACCATTTATGCTACCAATAGAAACTACAAAGGACCAGTTCTATGCTCCTTAGAGCTGATTACCATGCTTCATCCGGTAGAAGGATAAGGCACTGCTTTAAGGTTTCTATGGTGATGCTCTATGCTTTTCATGACCATGGAACTCTTAAATTAGTCGTCGTCTATGACTTCCCCCACAAAATATGAACAGAAGAAACATCTGGAAGGTGCATACAGTTAAGAGCAAAACAATGGCTATTGCAAGGGATGGATAACCATAACAACTCCACAAATCCAAAAGCTTTTTCATGGGATGGATGACCACTCCCAAGTCCACCAACCACTGCATCGGTTTTCTACTCCCAGAGGAAGTACAAAGAACCACCATAGAAGGGGATTGCCATTGCATAAATCCACAAGGTGCATGAACAATGCATTCAACCCAAGGGACACCAGGGACCATCTATTAAGTACCAAATTGGCATCTGACATTCTCATAGCTCTCCTAACAAGACAACTTGAGGCTTAATACCTGAGAAGATCTTAAAAAAGAGCCCTCCATTTGTCACCTCTTTGATCCTGACTGCAGTAGCATTCCCAAACCTGCCAGACTCAAAATCTCTTCCAAGTTCGCTGTTCTAGGGAAGAAACAATCCAGCAACACGTCCTCAAGAACTCCATTCCTTTGAGATTCCAAATCTATTATTACTACCTTCCTCTTCATCGTGAGCCCGACATCTGTTAAGATCCACTATGAATTCGAGCTGCATCCCTATGGGTATGAGCAGGACACAAGGTGCGCAGCAAGAACTCCATAGTTCCTTAAGCATCTACCAAAGGTCACTACTCCGCTTCGAGGCAGAAAAGGAGATGGAATGTCAATGGTCAACCTATGAAACCATGAACTTGAGAGGGCCTCCTCCAACCATTGTCATAAAATGAGAAACAGACCACCAAGGCCAATATGGACACAGCTAGGCCGAACAACAAAAATTATGTTGATGCATTCAGACTATAATCCTTAGTTCTTTCTCCCTCAGAATTAATCCACAATCATATTAATTTGAAATGAGTGTCAGTTAAACACCATGTGTTCTTAATGCAGATAGAAGAATGTAGCTGATGAAGTGATGAAAACATCATGGTAGACAAAATGTAACACTGGAAGTTTATTGAAAAAGAATAAACTACTCCAATTTCGCAGAAACTTCAACATGCATTACGATTTGTCCCATTTACATGCCCCCTTTACAGAGAAAAAATAAGCACATAAATATGTAAGCAAAAAGGCATGTGATAGTATGCCTGGGGGGTCAAGCTATACACCCAGGAAAGTGTATCGCAAGTGGTGCCAAATTGTTCACTGATGGTTTGAAGGTGATTCTATGATAAATACATATTAAGAAAATATTTAGAGATACTATGGACATGTAATCTGCAGACTATACATGAATAAGAGAACGAAGCAAGACACCGGATCTTTTGGCAAATAAAGGAGTAACAGTGTACTAGGATTTTGACCAAGGAACCCCAATTTCCTTGTGCATGTTTAATGCAAATTAATCTCCTCGATACAAATTATGGAAATGACGCATCCATTACATAATGTAAAAAATAGTGTTTTTTTTCTTTCTTTTTTCCAAACTAGCACTTGTAACACTTCTTCTTGTATTGGGTAGGCATATTTATTGCATTTCAGTGGGCATGTCTCGTAATAGTTTCTACCCTAGTGTCTTTGTAAACTCCCATAGCTATACAATGTTAACAGTTATCAAAAAAAAATAGTTTCTACCCCAGTGTCTTTTCATGTATAAGAAACAATCAAAATCTTATCTAACAAGGATATGAAGAATGTGGGCCATGATGCATGAGAAATTCATAGGAACAAAACTAAGACAAATATGATTGCAATTAAAATAAGAGTAATGATCCTATAGGACCCTCCCCCACCTATGTGTGTAGGACCCCAAAGGATCACCATTAAATTTAGCACGGATCCCTAAAAAAGTTATCACATGGGTGTAGGATTTGACTTTTTTAGAGATCCGTGACAAATTTAATAGTGATCCTTTGGAGTCCTACACACATGGGTGGGAGAGGGTCCTATAGGATCATTTCTCTTAAAGTAAACACACAATTAGAACCTCACTTATAGAAACCTCATAAATAAATAAAGCACACACCCCTCCAGGTCAAGGTGAAGTGGTGAACAAACTCATTTCTGAATCTTGTCTTGGCATATAAATGATGGTTTTGAAGTGGTAAGAATGCAATTTGTAGTTGATGACAACTGGGTTAGATCCCCATACAAACAATTCGCTTTTTTTTTTTCCTTTTGTTTTTTTTCAACCCTAACAAAAATCAGAAAAATTGGTCAAGATTTTTTGAGTTGACTTCATAACTTCATGAGTTGACTCAGTTTAAGGAGGAGCCAAGCCAGACACCAAGTACAATTGTTTGAAGACTCCTGCAAAGAGATAATCCAAAACTCATGGGATTGTCTATACTCTACAAGGAGACCATTTATCTTTTGTACAAGGAGGTCACAACTATTCCCACTCATTAGATGTCAAATTGGATGGCTTGGGGTAAGTCACGAAGACCGAGAATATATTTTTTTGTGTCTAATCAATGACACTCTTACAACCACCCATTTTGAAATCCAAGGGCCAAGAATGATTGTGACCTCCTTGTACAAAAGGTAAATGGTCTCTTTGTAGACAATCCCAAAACTCATTCCTTGGAGAATAAGTACCGTAGCGGCCATCAAGTAAGACAGCCATAAAATAACCATAAACTGAACAAGTAACTCAAAGAAAGAAATAGCTTGGGCATTTTTGTAGCTCCTTTGCATACAAAAGGAGGCAGCAAACAAAGAAAAAATCACGTGCTTTCTCAAAAACCAGGAGCAAAGATATATAACAAGCATATGACATGTAAGAAAATAACTGTTTTATTGTTTCTCAAATTTTTATGGCATTTATAAAACCTAACAAATAAAATACGATACATTGTAGCTCATGGAACAAGATTAACAATTGCAAACCAATGGTTTTACGAAACAAGATTAACAATCCAAATCCAGGATTTTAAAGGTTGAAGCACAACACTTTGTGGTCATCATACCTTCTTATCAAGATATTACATAACAATATGATGCGCTCAGCAGGCATCACAGAACTAATAACCTCCTCCACAGCTTTGACAATACTCTTCCTGGCATGCTCCAAGGTAATTACATTTTCATTGATCACATGGCCAACAAGCTTTTGTCTGTAGTCTTTACATTCCAATATGGACTTCACCAAAACCATACATTGAATCAAGAAAACAGTAAAGGAGAGTATATGGGGCTCAGGATTTGTGATTTTATTCAAGCAGAAATCCAATACAGGTGCCAAAACACTTCTATCACCAAATGAGTAAGGATGAGTGCCCTGTATTGAAACTAAAACCTTGATTAACTTTGAACATGCCCTCTTTGTGAAGTCAAAGAATTCTTGACTGCTTTCCTGGAAGGATGAAACTGCAATACCGACAAAGATATTAATTTGCGTCACAAATTAATAAGTTAAGCAGACAATAAAAATTATGCCTACAATGCAATTGTTTACGCATGAGAAGAAACAGAACATTTCCAATTACAGTACATATCATACATGCCTACAAAGCTTTGCAGTTATCAAACTACTCTACAATCCGTTATGGAACTAAAAACAAAAAAAACAAAAGATAGAACAGAGCAAGATAATAACATTTCTATTCAATCAATCACAGGGAAAACCTAACTTACATATGTCCAATGAAAAACCAAAGTGAATCAGCTAAGTACAAAACCTATTATATCTCAACCAAATCAAACTTCATTGAACTTTCTTTCACCCTTGGTATTATAAAATATCTATAAGATACAATGAAATAAATGCCCAAATAAATAATAATCAAAGCTCCTTGTCTTAACATATCTCACTTCCTCAAATGTACGATGATGGCTCCAAAAATATAGAATGACAAAGCAAACTTAAAAAAATTGTATTACTTTACCAGCCTAATTTTGGGGGAAGCGAAGTTCTGCATTTCCAAGAAAGAGAGACAGGAGTCTGAATATGCCAAGATGCATTGGATATGGAATATGAATATAAATATGGGAGCATAGAGAAAAAATAAATAAATAAGGATATGACTTGACATTCCCAAATCCAGAACAAAACCAAATATGAGCATACCGACTTAGTGAAGCATGCATATTACAGCTTATATAGCACACAACTTTAAGCATTTTACATGTTGATAATTATATTTAATAGTATTGTAGGAGTATCCTGTATTGGTATTTAATAGTATTGTAGGAGTATCCTCTCATTTTGTATTTATATTTAATAGTATTGTAGGAGTATCCTGTATTGGTATCAGTGTCGGTGTCCTATCATCTCAACACTGCGCTAAGGATATACAGCTGTCCTGGTATAACAGGTCATAAGACAGATCAAAAAGGATTGTCAATAGCATTGCAAAATAACTAGTATCATTGGAATTTCCAGAATTTGATCAGTGACATGAGGATCGAACAGCTAAACCATATATTCAGGGAAGCCAAGCACATGGACTGGAACCATTTGTCACTTATATTCCTCCATTTTCGAGCCAGTTCTCAAAAATTGAGGTTTCATTTGATTTTTCCAACCTCCATCTCTCAAGCAATAGACAAATTCATGGCCCCTTCTCTATTATCATTGTTGTGACATCTCACACTACCATAATTTCCTCATACAACAACAACGGGCATTCCAAGCATAAGTTTAAGGGATTCATTCACTCATACAGTGCTTATACATATATATTATCAAGCACCAACTATCGAATTTATCATAAATGACAAATTTTAAAAGAATTTCAAGATCACAGGAACATTTACTCCTATTGCATGCTCTAGTTTTGATGATCCATCCTCAGATTCCACTCCCCAGGTTTCCTTGAATATCTTTACATTAGTTCTGGCAAGAAGAACCTTGTAAAATGTGTGCTAGTATTTCATTAGAAGAAGCACAGAGAGAAATAATTCATGAACAAAACAGAAACTAAGACTCATTCACCAATAGAACGTAATTTAATCTTCATTTTGATCCTATCAATGAAACTCTAGGTTAGAAGTAATCAAAAGAGGAATGCACGTAGTAAATGTAGAATCTGAAAGCATGAACCCTATTTCACATAAAAGACGAAAGAAAAACAGTTGAGGGAAACAATAATGAAGATTAGCTACATTGAAACTATCAAAGGCATCATCGGATAGCATTTAGAGATGTACTAGCAAAAATAATGAATTCATGAGGCAACGAAATAGGTTACTGTCTTACAATATGGAAGAAAGGATTGAATGGCCTTCAACAGGGCAGGGCAAACTTCCTTCACAGGCTGAACCTCCTTCAAAAGTGTAATAAGCAATTAAACAAAATAACCAACATAGATTGAAAGCAAACCACAAGTACAACACAACTATTGAACCACAATGATTAAAAGAAATTTTACTGGAAATCCAGAATAATGTACAAATCTGAGTTCTTCATACAGAAAACAATAGAAAATACCTGCATGGATTTAGAATCTCTTGGAAATCCAGAAACAACCATGTGACTAATTATTTTCAAACAAAGTAACCATCTCTCACAAATTAGATGCAGACCATCCTGAAGTTCAGCCGATTTATCTCCAACAGGATATTGGATCAACAAAGAAAATTGCTGCAATATTGTGTGAATATCACCTTGCCAAAGGTTCCAGGTATATCCGAAAAAATGTGAGGATATCTGCAAACAATTTAAAAAGAAAAAAGGGGGGAAAAAAAAAGTTCAGTCAGCACTAATTTACAGTAATTTTAAGTCGACAAAAAACCAAAAATCAAGGGACACAAATATGAAATTGGTTCTCAAACTCAGCCATTCACTGAATAAAAAAATTAAGAAAGAAAAGGCCTGTGAAATTTATAGGATAGACCTATTACTCAATTCAAGTTTTAACAAGTTAAACAGACCACACTTTGCAAAGCAGCCCAAAGACATCAACAGGAAAAAGATGGATTTGAGAATTGAATCAGTAGGGAACTAGGGATTGCGCAGCCTAGGGGTTATAGGGCTTCAAAGAACATTAACATGAAGGTATCCGAAAGCAGGACAGATGGGCAGTAAAAAAAAGTGGGAAAAGGACCAGAAAACATGGTAAAAAGAGACGTGCAAGATTGATTTCAAGGAGTTGATATCACAAGAAAGGAAGGGGTGATTTTTACAATAAGCTAGATGGGTTACTAATGAACAACCATCAAGGTTTCTTGGGAGTTTTTTCCTCATAGAAAAAATTGGCACCTCATGACCCAATTTTCTATTCATAAGGGGTTATACTAGGACCATGAAAACACGAGAAGTGGGAAACCTTTATCACTAACAATTATCACATTTCATCTGGGATATAAACAACCCTGACGGTAAGGGAGGGCAGACATATAGAGGGACAGAAACAAAAAGATAGGAAGCAAGGATAGAGAACGGCATTTGAAAGTCAGATCCCGAATGGCTAAGTAATTCATCACGGAGAATCTGGCTGTGAGTCATGAGTCATAAATAATCAAAGAGCAATGTGACTCATAAAGGACTCCACCACTATGATATCAAACCAAAGAATTCACACAAACAATTCTCAAATAGGGCAAGGCTTAAGAATCCCTTGAACATAAAATCGCTAAAATTACATTGATTATACAAGACAAGTACAGAAATGCCCCACAGCATGTGTACAATGCTGCGCACACGCACACATGCACACACATATATCCTAGCTAAAGGAAAATGCATTGCACAAAGGCCTTGGCTTAAATCTAAAAAACAGCAAGGGAAAGGTTGCAATATAGAGAAAATGTTGTGAAGGGAATAAGCAAAGACAAGAATGCATGGGATTTAAATTGTTTTCTGAGAGAGAGAGAGAGAGAGATTGATTTTGAAGATTGGGGAACTTTGGAAGGAAAAGAGTATTGCATGAGATCTTAGGAAACGAGAAAGAGAGAGCAAGAGGGACTTTAGGCTTTAGATGGGTACTTTCATGAGCTTGATTTCCAGAAGTTGTCATCTTAGGAAATTGAGTGCTTTGAGATATTCCAATTTCGAACAACTTAAGAAACTGACACACAATAGAGATATTACTGGAGTATTTTGTATAAGTTCAATTTTTCATGTAGAGAGAGAGAGACTTTAGAAGATGGGAAGGAAATTAAAGGGGGAAACAACAGGTGCGTAAGAGTTGAGCAAGAGATTTTTATGAGAAAACAAATCATTTATTGTTAACTTTTACTCTCATTGATCAAAATTGATGTATTATTCTTTACAGAAAAGAGGGTATATTCTTAGACAAAATTTGTACTAAAGAACACATTTTGAAGGATTTCACAGATATATCTTCACATTCTGAAGGATTAGGAGGGAAAGAAAAAGAGCCCTCTAAGAAGCCTATATCTAATTATAAATTAAATGGACAGTCTAGAGTTGCTTATAGAACAGGGATTAATTTGGAACATCTTTTCAGCTCCAAATATCAATTTTCTTTTTCAGTTTGACGTTAGAAGGAATGATGATGATTTGAGAGTTCCCCTCTAAGTAGGTGCTTTGGCACCTACTTAGAGGGAAACCTGGGGTTCTCTTTCAAAGTTAAAGTGATGTTATTGGAAGCTTATAGCAAATAACAAATATTTTCAACAGACCTACGGCATAACAACAGAAAATGACAAACGAGAGAGAAAACCTGTTATGAGTTATAAAATGAAATTAAGACCTAAAACCTCAAGGATAATTAGCAAACTATAACATAACTACCAATGAATTTGTAATAAACAAGTGAAGGCTGAGTACAAATCCAAGTATGCAATGATGTATAAAGCGATTAGCATATCAAAACAGATCTCAAAATAACTCTGGATAATATTTCAGGAGATCATAAGACAAGTTCTATTTTTTGAGAGTTGATAAATGACTAGAATATACCTCTGCAAAATTCCTTTGGTCAACACCAAGACGTTTTGTTGATAGTTCTTTCAAGGTTCGGAAGAGAACCATGTAAACCCTATGCGAAGTGAGAGTATCTGCAGATGGAAGTTGTTGCGCTAGAAGAGAAAAGAGATCTGGCCTGAAAAAGAAAGCTAAAAATCAGAACTGTATAATCAATTTATGTAATGGGTTTAAAAAACATGGCTCAATTGAAAGGAGACTGATGTTGCAACCGTGAGGTTGTGATATGAAGACTAGTCTAATGCTTAGATATGATAACACTGTAATCAATGTCTACAAACTCGTTTCGAATTTTTTCTGACCTGTCAGATTCAACTCAGCTCCCAAGGTTCTGAGCTCTATTATGAAAACCTTGGATTCAACTGACTTTCAGAGTTCAAATTAGAAGTGCTAGACTAGTATTAGACGCTGTTGTGGGTTTTGTGTCAGTATGTAAGCCCCCGTGTACATATGACCACAAGTTCGCACTATAATTTTTCCCCATAATGGAAATACTCGAGGTTTTGGCTGTGACAAGTCAATATCCGAATTCGAATTTTCTGAACACTGTATTAAAAACCAAACCACAGATGCCAAATGATATGAATGCATACATACGAATTGGGGACACATCAGTTGACAAAATGACAATAATATATGTCAATGTTTAAAAACCTGCATCAGTTGGGTGAACCGGCCATCCAAATCACCGATCCGGATCGCTGAAACCGAGAGAATCGGCCAAAAAAAAAAATTTGAAAACAAAAACATAAAAAGAAAAATAACAAAAAAATAAAAAAGTGGGAACCATGTGATCTAGCTAGGACGGATCGCCCTGTTCCCTGACGAAACCGGCCAATTCTCTGACAGACCAGCCGATTCTTTCTAGAATTGCCCGGTTCTTGATATACCCAGGGAACCAGTTTGCTTTAGAACGATTCCCAATCCAAATCGACTGATTACGATCCGGATTAGGCATTTTTTTAAAACATCTGTACATTTAAAAGAGCATTTTGAACATTGTGAAAATAAAAGGGGGAAAATGGAGAACAGCAACGCAAACCAAAACAATGGATTTCAGTGGAAGACAACATGATTGTTTGCGTGATAGACTATAACAATATTAAAAGAAGTCAGACACTCGTGCCATTTTGTACAAGAGTGGGGATTTTACGTCAATTTGAAAGAGTAAGAGGATAGAAATTATAAGCAATAGAGCTGGAAGAATTTAAATGGCATGAAAGGATATGTTAG